TAAAAAAAAAAAAAAAAAAAATTCTGTGGTGTATCCTGATCCTCTGGGTCCCCCGAAGACTGATGCTGTGAGGACTCTAATGCTGTCAGTACTTACTCTGGGAAATGCCCCAGGCCATGATTATTCGGTGACAGCTCTGATTCCTCCCACATTACAGGTGAAGGAGGTGGTTAAGTGAGCGCAGGCAGTCCTGCCCCCGAGTTTGGACCCTAACCACCGTGCTCCACTCCCCTGAGCAGGAGACCTGCACGCCTTGCCCCACAGGTTGAGTCAGGTCTCTTACACCTCTCTTTCCCCTGCCAGCCCTTCTGTGACGGCTCGCACTTCTTCCAAGGCACTGGCTTGTCCCCACTCAAGTTCAAGGCCCAGGAGACGCGCACGGTGGCACTCTGTACCTGCAAGGCCACCCAGAAACCCCCATACTGCGATGGCACCCACAGGAGTGAGCGGGTACAGAAGGCAGAAGTGGGTTCCCCGCTCTGAGGGGGCGGCTGCTACCCAGCCCCGGGTGGCTTGATGCCAGGCCTCTCTGATAGACAACCCCTGTGTGGGGAAGGAAACTGAGTCCCCGGGCTCAAGAAGTAACCATCCAGAGACCCCAGTGCCACAGCCGCTTATGAAGCTGTTCCCTGCCACCTGAGATCTCCGGTCCAGAGCACGGAGAGTGGGCCCTGGGTCACCATCTGCGGGTGGACAGGATGGTATTAAACAAGCATGCCCACCCAGAACTGTCCTTGTGGTCCCTGGTGAGGCCCATGGGCGACCTCTGGCTTCTGACAGGAGCGTGTGTGGGCTGAGGGTGCCTGATCTTCCACAGGAGGGTGGCTCAGATACTCCCCGTGGGACCCCCAGGCAGGCTAAACCCAGAAACAGGAGGCCCACCCACTCTTCCCCCACCTCTGCCCCAAAGAACCACAGGTGCCGGAGAGTATGCAGCATTTATTACAAAGCCAAGAGATACAAATGTCCCAGGGCAGGAGGACGGCACAGAGGACCTCAGACACAGGACAAGGTGCAAACACAGACAAACCCGCTGGGAGCTCCCAGCCCCCACACCTGGGCAGTGGTGGAATCGGGAGTCTTGCCCTCGCCCCCTCCCAGATCTATGTACACTGGAGGAAATCTAGGTGGGCAGGGATCTGCTGGGCCCTTCCCTAGGGAGGCGGCCCCTTGACCTCTGGGGGGCGGGGCTGGGGGCAGGGCTTACAGGTTTCTGTCTCCTTGTGCTTTTTGATGCCTCCGTTGCTCTGTCCTGACTGGGCCTTGGCTGGGGGTGGAGACCGGAGGGCTGTTTGCCTGGGGCAACTTCTGGGGTCTGTGCTTGTCTGAGGTGGACCCCGCCCCCACCCCCTCCACCCTAGGCCCCAAGGGCAACTCAGCCACCAGCCCTGCTAGTTAGGGCTCCCGGGTGAGGGCCGGTGGAGGAAGGGGGTAAGCAATTCCCAGCACCACAGCCAGGGGGAATTGCAAGGGCCCAGGGCCTCCCGCGGCCTGAATCTTCTGTCCCACAAGATAAACTATACAAAGGCCACAGACACAGGGGAAAAGGGGGGCAGAACTGTCTACTCTGCACAAAGTTCCCACCACAAGAGGTGGAGGTGAGGGAGAGGCCATCGCGGCTGCCCATGCGCTCCTCAGAGCGGGGATAAACTGCATTTGTAAAAGGCACTGTCTTAGCAAGTTCTGGACATTCAACAATGGGGAGCACCGGTTGGGCAGGACAGCAGCCGAGATGGGGAGAGAACAGGCAGACCCCTATATGCAGCCAGCTAGAACTATGCCTCACGCTTTGAGGGCTGGTGAGGACCCCACACCCGTCTGCCTTGGGAAGCAGGGCAGGGCTTTACTGAGCCTCAAGCAGCCCCTCTAGTCCACCTCCAGGCACCCCCAAAAAGAGCAGAGCAGATTACACAAGACCCCCTAAAAATGAACACCCCACTCCCCACACATACACACACACATAGTTTGTTTCCTGTGGCATTTAAATTAATCTGGCTGGTCCATAGAAAATAAGTATGTATATTTAGTTTTTCCTATGTACATATATATATAGATTTATTTATAAAACCCGCCCCCCACCCCCAAGGTGGGAGGAGCTGGGGAAGCAGAAGAGGTGGAAAAAAGGGGCCCAGAAAAAGTGGGAGGAGTGGAGAGGCATGGCTGAAAAGGAGGGAGAGGGTCCCTTTCCTCAAGTTAAGGGGGGCACGGGAGCTCCGTTGACAGTCATCTTGCGCCCCCTGCTGGTGGAGGATGGTGTCTGCAGGCAGTTCGAAGTGCCCCCGTTGGCAGCTGTGGTGGCCCCACTGGCTGTTGAAGGGGGTGTGGGGGAGGTAGGG